TGAGTCTGAACCAGTGGTGAAGAGACCAGGAGAATCACACAAACTAACATGTACAGCCTCTGGCTTCACATTCAGTAGCTACTGGATGCACTGGGTCAGACAGGCTCCTGGGAAGGGACTGGAGTGGGTCGCTCGGATCCACCCTAGTGGTACCACCTGGTACTCCCAGTCTGTTCAGGGCAGATTCACCATCTCCAGAGACAACGGCAAGAACCAGCTGTATTTACAGATGAACAGCCTGAAAGCTGAAGACACGGCTGTGTACTACTGTGCCGGAGAGTCACAGTGATGGGGGCTGTGGGGAAGCCGTACAAATACTACTTCCTCACAGAGAATCAGGATGTTACATTATTATTTATCTCGGACCTGAGTGTATCTGTTCATTTTTCATGTTCAGATGAATATCAGATAAAAGATAATTATTAGAAATATATATTTCAAAAAATGTGATTTTATTATTATTATTTTTTAAATAAAAACAGAGACAGATTTATGAGCAGCAATACCTCTACAACCAAATGACCACAGATGGTGATACTTTACCCGCTGTGGGGATGATGAGGATGGGCACTGTGACTGTGTCCCAAACCATCACTTCTAATTTCAGGGTCTGTATAATGACAGTCTGAGCTTTGCTCCAGGCTCAGCCATGTTTGCTTTTGTCCAGGACAGGATGGACAGCTGCTATGATCCTCCCTGTGATCTGTCAGTTATATTTCCAGGTGCTGTTATAATTTAGAGCTGTATCTCATGGTCCATTGTCCACTGGAGTCCCCTTTCCTGGTCTGGTATCCTGTGATAATTAGGCCTCCTCACTTGAGTCCTGCCTCACAGAACTTGATCCACAGCCGTTTGACTCCTCAGAAGCCCAAAGCCTGGTTGGCTGCCTGTTTCCCACAGTGTGGCTTTTGCCAAAGGACTAAGGGACTGTCATTACTGTGCTTGACAGTGACACTGACAGGAGAGACTGCAGGGCTTTACAGAACCTTCAGCTCTGAGGATCCCTCCGGATGTCTCTCTTTCTCTCTGCATGTTTCTTTGTGCTCATCTAAAAGTCTGCTCTACCTCTTTATTTACAGCTGTGAAGGCTCAGATTGTACTGACTGAGTCTGAACCAGTGGTGAAGAGACCAGGAGAATCACACAAACTGACATGTACAGCCTCTGGCTTCACATTCAGTAGCTATTACTGTATATGCACTGGGTCAGACAGACTCCTGGGAAGGGACTGGAGTGGATTTATTACCTTTGCAGTTATTCCTGCTTTCATATAGTTTACAGGAATGTTCTGTAGTCCTTGTTTCAAGTGTTTGAACCCTTAGTACTTGGTAATTACCCTCAGCTGGTCCTTGGTTTTCCTGGTCCCTAGTGTTTGTTCATGACCCAAACCTGTCT